GCTGCGGTGAGTCTTCACAGATAAAGACAGATCCCTGCATCAGTTGGCTAATCCTGACAGAGAGGTCCTGCCAACACCATTAGGATAAACCCGTTTGAGGCGCTGCAGCCACTCCACACATGAATAACACACAGGAATGAAAAACACTCAACACCAATATAGTGTCAGAATGGCATGATCAGTAGTAACACAAAGATACAGCTGGAAATAACTTGGCTTTCGGCAGAGGCTTTTATTCTGAGGGTGAAAAATTATGTGGATCATAAATGGAAAATGACAAGCATGCAGAGAGAAACCTTCCTGCAGATTTATTTTCCTTTTTTTCTGTTTTCTTCAGAGACTTCTGCAAATATTTTCTGCATTGTTGCACAACGCGGGTTGTTTAGAGTTTAAATCCTAAATCTCAACATAATGAACTTATACCGCAGAAACTTATTTACATACTAATTTGGTAAAAATCTGAAAATGGAAAGAAACGGACAAACGAAAATCAGAAAACACATGGATTGACAAATGGATAATTCAACAGAAAAATGTTTGAATGAATGTTGTTTATAAAAGGACAACTATACACATATTTGAAATACTCCTTTTTATTTCTATAACCAGAAACATAACAAATCAAATTTTATACTTTTCCAGACACCATAGAAAGCCTGGATTTAAACCTTTTTCTCAGAATGTTCAAGCAAACATATGTTGAAGATTTAACTCCTTCACACATGTTTGGCAGGTAAAGAACTTCTCAAATTGAACTGGCACAGCATGCAGAGATAAATCCTCAAAGCTTGGCTGTCAGAAAAAATTTCAATTCTCAAAAAAAAATTATCCAATGCAGCGGACTCCAAGGTTTTTAATCAAATCTCAGATTTTCTTTTCTTTATTCAACACCCAACTGAATGCAAACCCTACTGATCAGCTGTAAATGGAAATATTCTCTGCAGTTGCTTCATCATAAAACTCTAATGGCAGCAATTTCCTTTTCCCCAATCCTCAGTAAGCTGGCATCTCTCATCCACTTAATTTACAGCTTGCAAAAAAGCTGTAAATATCACCGGCCTGGGGCAGTTAACAAGCCAGCAATGACACTGTATTGACAAAGAAGCAAAGGGTTTGCCTCCATAGGTAACCCCCAGTTCAAGTGTTATTGTGTTGATTGCCTCTTACATGTAAGGTCTGTGCAAACTGGATGTCATTTTTACAGCTAGAATACATTTATATTTGACCTATAAAAGATGCAAATCAGAAAAAAATTAATATTAATGCAGGCTTATGTACGGGTGCTCGGGTGGATCAACGTCAGTGCCCGTAATATCTGCAAGTTCAGGAGCTTCAAAGAGAGGGAATCCAAACGTAGACAGAGATGTGAGAAGAGGAGTAAAGAGCAATGAGTGTCAGAAAAACAAAGCCCTGCTTTATTCCAGATCTGAACTATATTAAAATATTTTGCAACAACGATAATATTGGCAAATATTACAATGACATCATCGGTTGTGATTTATCCCCATTTCTTCTTTCCTTCCATCACTTTGTGTCATTGAGCATTTTACGTAATGTCATTAGTGTCTATTGTGACATCTGCTGCCATGAGACTAAATTTTACATTACAATGCTAAATGTAAGTTCATCACACTGGAAATTAACAATGGATATTTATTACATTGCTTATCATAGTGAAAAACATATGCTAAGAACTTTGATTAAATTAAATCAAATCAAAAAAACTAAGAATTATCTAAAATTTTATTTTTATCATTTTCCCCACTGTTTGCTTCAGAAGAGCATCAATAAAAATCTGAAACTTTGAAAATACAGTATGATTGAGTGCAGTTACTGTGTGCAGTACAAATCACACTTCCTGAAGTAAGTGCCTATTTTAAATAGGAATTTTTCTGAAGAACAAGAGTTATGGCGCAATAAAGGCTGAGACATCCAGACACATTAAACTAAAAAAGAAGCCATTTTTATCATAAAGACAAGAGTTCCACAAAATATTGTAATAAAAGTTTTGACATATTATCCGATTATTATTGCACTCCAAACTGTCCTTTGCAATACAAATATTGCACACACTGACATTGCAACAATAGTTTTTTGCAATTTTTTGTAGCTTGACTGTAGATTACACCATAATCCCCAAGTGAGGAATACTGTGATGGCAAAGAACCGTTTGGATGCAATATTTTGTAGGCTATGAAATGTAACATAATGAGTGTGAATGAGTTCAACCAGAATATACCCATGTCTTATAAGTAGCTTAATGGCCAATATGCTAAAGCTCAATGAAATTGTGGGGTCATTGTGAAAAGAGAAAAGAAACTAAAACGATTGGCAGTTGATATTAATGTTGTAGTATTAAGCAATATTTCAATTAGATGTTTCACTAAAGTTCAACAGCCATATTCTATATTTTTCTATGAAAATGTTAACAATGAATTACATGCTTCTATTTATGTGCGTCACAACAAATACAAATACAGTAGAGTGCACAACACGCAAAAACTTTTAGTCCAATTATAAGTGAAATTTTGTATGTAAACGAAGAAAGGATTAGTGTCTTATGGTATAAATCGAACAATCTCGCGTTGCTTGCTGCTGTGTCATATTGTGTTGTGATGCTTTGGTCCCTGTTCCTGGTCCTCCTGGCTCACTGTCCCGCATGTTCTGCCGCATCTGATTTATATTGAATGGTCATTAACAGGTTTGTGCAAAACTTGGTGTCATGCTGATGCTTTATAGAGGCGGATGAACATCGAAAACATTAAGGGCCACCATACTGATGAATACCGCGTGAGGTGAACTAGAGGGTGCGAAGCCTGCACACCACAGCGACCTAAAACCACAATGCACACAAATGCACACGGGTTGAATTCCCACCGTAGTTGCAGTTCCTGCTGTAAATTAAGTGTACCCGATTATCTGAGCTGATAAGGGGCTTAAAGAGGGATGCAGCCGTACCTGACAGGAAGCAACTGCATGGCAACAGTTGCACACAGAAACATTGTTAAACTGTTGCAGATCCGGGCGCTGCAGTATCGAGATGTTGCAACAGACTTCCAGAAATAAGCACGACAGGTTTAATTTGCAGTACAATGTAGTAAATCCCCCCACTCCCCTCACACTGACCTGTTGCGTCCGTTCAGACGGATTCATCATCACAGCCTGCCGAAAGCGGTTATCCACATAAGACGCCATTGTCTTGGAAGGCGGCGTGTAGCACAATTTCTTATTCTTGAAAAGCACTTTATAGGAATCCAGAGGCGATGTATATGCACAGATGTCGACCTCCGTTTTGTTGTACTTTATTCTTGTTGGCTGTGGTCCGGAGCTGGGAGTGCCCCAAGCCAGGCCACGACTGGAGCCAGACAGCCGAGCGGTCTCCTCGGGGTGTCTGTCCCTCTCTGCTGCCCAACCCGAAACCGGCTGCCAACTGCAGTCCCCGCTGCCACCGACTATTAAAACTTATTTAAATTAAAAAATGTATCAGTCTATTTGAGTTATTTTCAAACTGCCAAACCTAAAGTCCCACCGTTGAAGCCAGCGTTACGTGAAGATATTCCTTGTCTCCTCAGCATTCTGCTGGCGACGGGAAGAAATTCCATAAAGGATCCGGTAAACAAAAGGAAAGCTAACGGCTACAAGCTAACCAGACAGCAACAACATGGCGTCAATCGCGAAAAGGTCAAAACTCCTTCCGTTCACTGAGAAAACTCATTTTATTCGCGTTTACAGACAACTAAAATTGAGAAATGGCACGCCACCGTTCGCCGTGTTCTGTTGTATGCCACCACCATGGTGACTGACATACGACGTCAAGTCCGAAGGAGTTAGGAACACTACTTCCTTTTGGGATTTTCAAAATAAAATTATGCAAATAAATAAAAATCGTATTTTTTTTTTTTTAAAAAAAAGCTTTCTTATGTTTTCAAACTAAAAGCTTATTTAAATATACATGTAATGCTCTCATACAGATTACAAGAGACAGAAGCAAGTTAAAACAACGAAATGGGGTGGCAACATTAAAAAAAAAAAATCTGCATAATGTTTCCGTTTGTTCTTTGTTGTTTCCTGGGTTGTTTGAGGTTCTTTTAGGGATACTTGTAAAAAGTCGTATTGGCACAATGGTCATTTTGTAATTACCAAACTGAGATATAGAAATAGAACTAAATATAAAAACTCACAAAAGATAACTGTAATGAAAATTTTCAGTTCGGTTTATTCCCTATTGATATTATTTAGACAGGGAGAAAATTCTGTTTCCTCCAAATCCATCGTAAGCTATTTGATTTGACAAGGATTTAGTAACATGGAGGAGGCTTATTATGGGCGAGTCCATTCAACAAAGAACGGAGAGAGGGGTGTTAATATGGGAAATGTAGTGCTTTGGCGCCACCAAGCGACGTTGTCGGGAATTACAGGCGTAAAGGTAAAGAACAATGGCATTACAAAACCCCTCCAAACTCCAAGACTCGGAAATATAATAATATATCTTTATTATAACATATAAGTTAAATTATTTAAATACAATTAAGTAAAATACCAAAAAACAAATGAATAATTACAAGCTCACATTTAGGACTGTATATTTATTGAAAAGAACCAGCCAAACAAAATTAGACATTTTCGCATTATAACTTTCTTTGGGAAGTTTAAAGGTCGTAAGTATGTTTGCCTTTCAAAAACTACTTCTTTTGAATGTATGTATTACAAAAGTTAAACATACTTTTGTAACAGTATGTTTGAGACCGTCTGATGTGCCTCTCTCTCTACATGCAAATCTATTTGTATGAATGATATAACAGATATTTAGATAAGGGCATATCTGAGTAGATAAATAGTTTTCCTGGTTGCAGAGTGTAATTAGGCTGCAGGCAGTGGCACCATGACAACCACTGGTTGTATTACAACCAGGCATGACCCCATGGACACGATTGTTGAGCTCATGTTGTCAGTCGATCGGGGAGGTTAGGAGGTTAGGAAGCTCTTTCTATGTTCCAGATATAATAAGTTACAAATGATGCAGAACAGTAATAAAAACTCAGGTGAGACACAGTATGGGCAGAGGATCTTTTTCACAGGTAGGAAAATCTAACTCACAATGTGCCTTTGTTGTATTTCCTTCAGCTGGGACAATAAAAATATTAAATTAAAGCAATTTTGATGTAGCTGTAAGACGACATAGTCTAATAAATCAATCAATAATGTTGATTTTAAGCATTCAAATGATTGAAAGGAAGTTTTAAAGGACAGTTTTCTGTGATCAAATAACAAGATAGCAACATAAGAACTGGAAAATATCTGTTATACTCCTTTCTTTGTTTTTGCTCTTTTCTAGTCCAGTAGGTTTCAGATAATCAAAAATAAGCTGATATCAGAAAAAGATAAACTGAGTAATACAAAATGCAGTCTTTAAAAAAGTAATGCCAACCTCATCGCATTAACAGGTTGGTCCACCCTCAGTGTTTTAAACCACTGTGAAGGAATTATGGCCTCTTCTTCTATGCAGAATTGTCTTAATTCAGCAACTTTTCAAGAAGAAAAATTTCATTTTGTTTCACTTTCTTAATATAGAACCATAAACTCTGAGATGAAATGGGGCAAGTAAAGCCTGTAGTGCTCCAGAGGTCCTACAAACTGGGGCTCTGGACTTTACATAGCTTTGGCCAAAAATGATAAACAAGGAAGAAGTGTTTTCCTAAGTTGATACAACTGGATATATTTAGCAGGGCAATTTTTGTTTATTTGTTTCATATGCAATCTCTGCATTGTGGTTTCTACAACAAAATTCAGAAAGTGATGCAAAGATTGTATTTTTGTTTCCTCAATTTGTTTGTATGAGGTTTCAGAGTGTGTGCTTTTTTAGACAACTTACATGCATGTGAAAGTAAAGAAAATATGTTTGACGCCTTTTGTAACAGTTTTATATTTTGTGCAACCTAAAAACAAAAACATTAGCAATTCTTTTTTTATTGGTCCTTCATTAAAAACTGTCATTTTACTTCAGACAAATTTTGATTAGCAGGACTGGGTGATAGCAGCAGTTGATCGTCCTTGTTCTGCAGTATTTTGTGTCCTGGATGAGTTGTTGATGCATTCTCGGAGTAATTTTTTCATAATTTATTTATGATTTAACAAAGGGCGCAGTTATATTTTCATGTAGAGGCAGGCTTTTTTGCCTTTAATAATGAAATCATTTGAAGTCTTATAGGCAATCTGCCTTTTTGTCCCATTCAGCTTACTGCAACCACAAGCACCATTAATCACAAATCACAACTGAAGTAGGACATATTTCAATCCTAATAACTTTGAACTCTCACCAGGTCCAGATGGAATTGGAGACTACAGGCCAAGATCGAATTATTTCCCCCTCTACATTGGTGTGGGTGCCACTTCTCCAGAGGCCACCAGTGATCTAAGTTATTTATGCCGAGCTGCACCTGACGCTCCCCCACCTGTGCCCAGGCAGAGTTTTGTGGGCGAGGTGGGATGGGGATGGCAGTATAACCAGCTGTTGAATGGAGACAGGCTGCTCAGCAACATGCAAATTAAGGTATAAACATGACCTTGTGAAGCTGATTCTAATGAGTAGGTTGAGGCATAAACTTTGATGTGGAAAAAAATCCCACTCAGCTTTATTGTGAGGAACAGACGGAGATAATGAAATATGAATTTATTTTCTCTATAACAAGGCAGGACTGGCACATGGATTATTTATCAAGTCTGGATACTGATCCAAGATAATTAAAACTTCACTTTGTTTTATTTTCTGACAGAAAACTGACATTAGGCGAACACTGGAGGATAGAGTCACTCAGAAGTTTCAGATGAACCAGTAGGTCCCAATTTGTCCATTTAAAACGCATAAACATGATATATGTACATGATGTTTGAACAGTGTTGAGCTAGCTGGATTGCATGTTACCTGCTTCCTCATCCATAATGCAACATTTCCACTTTAATGAGAACACACAGAGCCTCAAGCCTTGGACACGAAATCAGCCAGAATGAATGTGAACACAGCCACCAAACTGTCTGGAGGGTTTATTTACATTTTACATTTTTCATATTACAAAAAAAATATTTATGAAATGCAATGGCATTTATTTCTTGCATGTTGCGAGGCATAACTTGAAGAAATCATACATGAGTAATGACAGAATAGTAGAGGTGTATCACAATAAATTAAAATAACATTGAAAAGTTTACTTTTTATTTCAGTAATTCAAGTTAAAAAAAAAAGAACAACTAATAAATGATAAAGATTTAATGCACACATTGGAATGTGTTGGATCATAGCTAATTAAAAAAAATTCCTTAAAATTGGATTATAACAAACAAAAAATGTTCGTAATATTGCAATAGCTATGAACAACGTAACAGTGGAGAAACAGCTAACTTTACAGTTGTTCTGGAGACCGTCATTGACACAATCCCCAAGAAAGTCATTTTTAGATTAGAATGTTGTAACTAAGCATGTTAATGGAAAATTGAGTGGAAGGAAAATATGTAAAGCACAAACAACACAGAAAATCTTGAGAAGATTATAAAGTACAGCAGGTTAAATAGGTCCAAGTTTTAAGGAAATGTTAATTTCATGAGAAACCTTGGCACCTGCTCATATTACCAGAACCACTGTTTCCATAGTATCATTGGATTTGGATTTGATTGGCCAACAAACCCACAAAGGATCTATGGAGTATTGTGAGAAGTTATGGGTTTGGAGTAACTGAGAGTTTTTTATATCTAAATCAACAAACATTTGAAATATATTACTCTCTGTGTAGCGAATATGATTAATTTGAGTTTACATATATCCCAGTTGATTGAGATGTATCCCATTCAATGGATTTTCTGCAGAGTTGAAAGAAAATTAATAAAATGAGAAAACAAATGTGTGAAGACAGATGGTCTTTCATATACAAAATCTATTTTTTTTCAGTATTTAGACATATTTCTAGCAGGGCTCTTGTATTAACAGTCCCCACTTTACCTATAGAAGATTTTGAAATGACACATTTACTCTGATCAGAATCCCTGCTGGCAGCACATCTGAAGGATGATGATGGACAGAGTGTCGTGTTTTTCTATAATTGTCTTTTTTTTTTCATCCAGCCAGTTGAAAAGTGTTAGATTTGTTCTGCTGACTATTTAATGGTTTTCTCTTTTAAAAATTTGCCACCACTGGGTGAGTATTCTCCGTCTTTCATTTATTTATCTCTGATATTAAGCGCTGAAAAATGACTCTCTTTCTTGTTTCCAAATAGGTTTGCATGGTTATAATATTTATGTGAAGCAGTAAAGCACAAAAGTAAGAAACTCAAGCAGAAAAATACATTGGATGTAAGACTAATGTGGCAAAACAATGTGATATTTTATTGAAGATCAAGAAGAAACTGTGGGAAAACAAAGATAATGATTGAAAAGATTCAAGTTATTTTTTCTTTAATAATAAATAAACTTGAAATAATGTGAAGGTTCAAAAGTAAAAATGCTTTATTGGTCTGAATTTTTCAGTATTTGTTCACATGGTTTTCACTTGAAAAAGTGACCAATTTCTCTTCAAAGAGATCCATAAATAGACATAAAATATTATCCAAATTATCACTAAGAAGGTTGAAGAACATTTGCCATTATGTAATTTTAAGAAACAGAAATTCAGTAAAATATGGAGATAACAGGCTTCATAAGTATCCACTTATTGGCTCTGTAAAATCATTATGATGCTTACAACTAATACTTGTACAAAGACTGATGTTGAATGTGCAGAAAATCAGAGGTCAGTAACGATTAACCTGGTGTGGATGGTGAACCTGTGATAGGAGCATAGTTACGAAAGCAGTAATAAAACTCATGCTTTATTGGGTCAGATTGTTGTGAGGTTTTTCTAACTGTGCTACTTTCTAAAGATGTTCAAAAACTGTCAAAAACTTGGTCGGTTTAAATCTGGAGTGAAGGCAGTCATAGTTATTCGAGTTTAAGAGTACTTTTTATGGATGAAGGAGACAGAGGTCAGACTTCTGTGGCATTAAAAAGAAAAAAAATTGCACAGTGATTCGATGCAATGGCAAAATAGGAGAGAAAAACAGACAAATGTAAAACATCAACATCTCCATGGGCTTAACTTTGTATTCATTTGGTTTTGGAGATTTTGCCAAGCATAATAATATGAATAAAAAACTTGCCTATATTGAAAAGTTACGTTAATAACACAAGAGCAAATGTCAATTCCTATGATAATTAATGTCCATTAGAAATGACAAATATGTAACTTTGAGAAAATAAAAAGAATAAAACCTTTCAATAAACATTAAAACTATTCATGCTATTCAACTAATGCATTGTCTCTCTTGTTTTCTATACCCTCCAATGGTTTCCTGTCTGTTTTTCTTTCAGAAGGAACATGGATGACTCAGAAAAAGTCAACACCAAGTTTTCCAAAAACAATTAGAGCAAACAGCAGATGGTATTTCACCTCCCACAGAGAGCCAGGGACCTGAGTTTTAATGAGATCCATCAAATTTGAATAAACATCTCCTAATCAGTATAAAGAGTTGAGTTTGTCCACATCCTCCAACTTGTATGTGAAAGTGACTTTATTAACAATCAGATGATGTAAACTGGTTGGGTCTGAAAGCTCATGGCAAGTTTATGGCTGTGTTCATGTAATATTATTACCATAGTTTATACATTACTGATCCTATAAACTATCCAAGAAAGTGTCAAAATTTGAACAATAGAAACAGTTTCTCAAATTGGACTTCAACTACAGAAATGTCATTGATTTCCAGTTGGTGTTGTTTTTCAGAGCTCCTTTGCTCATGTCACATTTGCACAGTGACACATTTCAGATCATCTGAAAAGCAACTGTTAATCCATCCCCAGGGCCCAGCAATCACATCCTCATATGTCTCCTACAGATAACAGAACAAGGTCTTTGGTTCCTGAAAAACCATAAATTTCCACAATATGAGCCAAGCGGATGACATCAGTGCTTCAGTGGAGCTGGGCATAATCTGCCACCACCTGAGGGCATCTTGTGACTAAATGTGTTGAGACGGTACAGCTTGAAATGTGTCTACTAATCTTCTTTAATTGGCGGGTGCATGGGAGTTCACCCAAGCAGTTTACAAGAGTTTATGGTTTTGAAAAAGACATTCAATCATGTCTTTTGGGAAGTTCTGAGGGACTTCCGTATTATTCCTAAATTGTTCGTCACAACCATGATGTGTTGACACCATGGTTTACAAACACTGACAATTTACAAAATTTTGATGAAATTTTGTGAAATAAACGGTTAATTTTGGTATACTGCAAATATTTCATGGACCGGATGAGCTACAATATGGCCTCCTTCAGAATAACATCATATAAATTGAGGTAGTTTGGAATTTTGTCATCTCCGTCAGAGTTTTTATTTGACAGTATGACTCCTTCAGTGATAGTTTTGACAAATCTCACTTAAGTGTGCAGTTCATTAATTTTAATGGCTTTTACATAAATGGCATTACTTCAGATGTATCAAGTATTTCTCTTTACTTCATTCAGTTCTGCGTCAACTCAGTCATGCATTGCCAACTCGCTCAGATGGACTTTATGTTGTGTTTTTGTTTTAAATATTTCTTTTGTTTCTTGAGAAGCATTCGTCTGTAAAACTGAGTAAAAATATCACTAAAAATAATTGTAGATTTATGTTTGTCAGATGGTGATGGCAGAGTTCTGTGTCAGATCCATTAAAAAAGTAATTTTCAAAAAAATGTTGCAACTGGGAGCCTGCACCTTGGCATCTTTACATTTCCAAATCATCATAAGCTTGAGGAATAATTAAACATTTTTGGGGAAATTTAAATCCATTTTGTTCCACTTCTCAAGAATCACTGAATTGACAATCGACACGGTAAGGATTAGGAGTATGATTCCTGCTAAATTATAAAATTGTGACAACATACTGCTCTAGCAGAAACACCAGATGATTTATCGTCAAAAATGTATCAGTTAGCAGTCGGCTTTTATTTTGAAGCGTCGAGTTGGAAGTTGCGTATGCCTTCCATTCATAACGTCAACGGCTCCAGTGCGCCGGTCTCGAGGTTTACAAGGTTTAGCTTCAACGATTGCGCCTTAAAATGTCTCACGCAGTACCGTCGGAAAAGCCATCCAACCCCGAGAATCCTCGCGTCTTTTTCGACGTTGACATCGACGGGGAAAAAGGTCATTTTGTTTTTACTTTAAATGAACTCGTGTTGCAGCACGTTCCGCGGCTAATTGAACTGTTAGCCTGTTAGCTACATCCGTCCCAATGACTCCCAGAAGGTCTATCAGTTTCAGGAGTCAAAAGACAATAAGCCTATAAAATAAACATGTTAGATTGATGATAAAGTTTCACAGTTAAAGTCTAATGCTATAAAGACACGCATAGTTTTTAAATTGGATTAAAAACTAAAGAATTGTGGTAAACCAGTGTAGCGCAGTCTAAAATGTTATACTGAGTAGTTACGACTAATTATTAAGATCTGGTAGTTATGACTAATTATTAAGATCTTATTTCACAGCCTTCGTGGTGTGAATAAATCATACTAATAAAGTATATCAGGCCAATAATGTTCATCCTTTTTAATATACCGTATTATGATCATGTTGAAGTTAAAATAGAAATTCGCAGTGTTCTGAAAAAACGGATTTTTTTACACGTTTTCCAGGTCAGAATTAAATTGGGAAAAAAACGGAGTTTGGATAAAAAAGTTTTTCTCTGTAAGCCATTCATCCATCTTACCTTCACTCCGTGTATTAATCATTCACTATAAATTTCTACCATTCATCAGTCCATTCTTCTACCCATTTGTCCAATGTCTGTCCATCTATTATCCATCCACCTATTCTTTCATCCAGCTGTCCATCATTGTTCATTTGGTTGTGCATTGTTAGCCCTTCCATCTGTTCATCTTCAGCCCATCTGCGTGTTCTTCCATCCATATGTCCGTCCATCATCATCTTTTCTTTTTCTCACCATACTTTTCCATGAGTCTGAAAAAGTTCTGGAACAGATTAGGGTTGCATTTTTTGTTTAGAACACGTCAAGGAAAATAAATGTTAGTTTATAAAGGCTTATAATGGTAATAAAAAATAAAAACTCAAACAGACACTGTTTCATTTGACAGTCCTTTCCAAAAGAAGAGGTAGAAACCTCAAGTTTATTTTTCAAAGTTGTTCCAGATCAGTTTATCCATTTCTCTAAACATATTTTGTGTCATTTTTATTGACACAACATATGCGTCAATACATTTACACATGAAAATGTAGTTGCAGATCCGTACATGTCCACACACATTTATTCATTCATTATACATACAAAATACCGTCACCACTCAAACAATGTCAGCACCGTAACATGCATTTAATGATCTGAATACCTCAACCGCCATCTTTCTCCTAAGCTGGCAACATGTGATATTATATAGCAGTAATCCTTCTGTTTGCTTAAATCTGCTTGTTTTTCATTAGTGTGGTGACTGCATTTTGTATGTATTATGACTGAATGTCAGCTAAATACTTAAATCTTAAATTCAGGTTAATATTTAAGTATTTAGCTGACATGTTTTCTTGCTATTTATCTAAGTTTTACCCAAAGTGTCCTCTATCTGAAGCTGTTTTTCTTGCTTTTCTGTCCTCAGCCGGCCGCATTGTTCTGGAGCTGTTTGCCGACGTCACCCCAAAGACTGCTGAAAACTTCCGGGCACTCTGCACCGGAGAGAAAGGCGTCGGAAAATCGACAGGGAAACCTCTGCACTTCAAAGGATGTCCGTTCCACAGAAGTAAGCAGCCATCATCCTTTCATTTGATCTCACATTTGAGTTGAATGAGTCAGGAGGACACCTTGAAGTTAGAACCTGCGTATGGTGGGTGAACAGCTGAAGGGGACTCCCAGTGGAGCGACACATTGTACCTGTGGAGGGTGTGTAATGAAAGTTATGCTCATGTAGCTAAGTTTTAATATAGATGTTCGATGGTGGACTTCAAACTGTAAATAGTATCAAGCCGATCTGGTTTGTTGACCTTTAGAGCTTTAACTCTTTTAAAGTAAATGTATTTATCCAGTTATTGTCAATATTTGTTCCTACAGAGACACATAATGACATCTAGCTCTTGAAGCACTTTTCTCATAAATATGTGGCCATATTACAATCTGTTACATGTTTTATGCCTTCTGGTGCAGTATTGAAGTACTACTGGTGTCAGTTTTATTTAAAAGTCGCAAGTTTTAGTTCTAATAACCTTTTTAGGAAAGTACAAAATCCTTTGTTTTTTGCAGTACGTACAGGAAAAACTTCCTAGCCATATTTGGGGGGAAAAAAAGGTTAAATATTGATAATGCTTTATAGAAAAACAGGTGAAAATATGTTGTAATTTACGCATTATGGTAATTAAATTTGATTGGATTACTTGTCAAATTGTACTTCAAATGATAATATAAAAATTGCAATACATGTATAGTTTATATAAAAAAAAATATATATATATATATATATATATATATATATATATATATATATATATATATATATATATATATGTGACAAAATCACAAGAATATCACTTCCTTTATCTGAATATCCTGTCTGTTTAAAATTAAAAGCTATAGATGTATGCACTAATCCTGGCACAGATAGAACACTGGCCCTAGAGGACTGACCTCGGGCACCACTGCTCTAGTTTGAATGGGACACAAATTTTTATTGCAAATTGTCACTTTGAACTGCCTTATTGCTGAGCATTTGCTACATAAATAATATTACCTTACCTTACAATAATTTTGTTAAGTGTTCGAAATACAGTTTTTAAAACATTAAATGTTCTAAGGATTTTACTCTGCTTTATCTATTTTCTTTTATTTGACAGTCATCAAGAAGTTTATGATCCAGGGAGGTGACTTCTCTAACCACAACGGCACGGGGGGTGAGAGCATCTACGGGGAGAAGTTTGAGGATGAAAACTTCCACTACAAGGTCTGCTTCTGCAGCACATTATGTTCAACTTCTACATGTGCTCTCAAAAATTAATTTAGCTCAAAAATATACAACGTAAGGCAATTGTCCAAACCTACCTTTGTTCTGGTTCATGGATGCTACTGAAGGCATTTCTTCTCTTCTTGCAGCATGACAAAGTGGGACTGCTAAGCATGGCCAATGCTGGGGCCAACACCAACGGCTCACAGTTCTTCATCACGACGGTCCCCACACCCCACCTGGATGGAAAGCATGTGGTCTTTGGACAGGTGTTAAAAGGGATAGGAGTTGTAAAAATGCTAGAGTCCGTGGAGACCACAGAGGACACTCCTTTAAAGGTACAGTCAGCAGAGAGCGATTAGCTGGGGCCAACACCAATGGCTCTGTCGTTGTTGGCAGAGTTGTCGTCTTGCAATATATCGATGTGCCTCTGGGCAAGGCACTTAACCCCAAATTGCCTACCGGTCTGCATATCGGTGTATGAATGTGTGTGTGAATGGGTGAATGTGACTCTAGTGTAAAGCGC